TTTGGAGAGAGTTTGACACGTCTCACACGTGCGCACATAGGTGCTCGTCCATTCAAACAACTTGGGCCACCAGTAGTGGTGTGTTACAGAGTCGTACGTTTTCTCACGACCGAGATGACCTTTGAGTGGCGTGTTGTGAACCTCATTGAGGATGCGGTATTTCAAATCCTCATCATGATAAACCACAATTGAATCGGTGCTATGCTACTGAAGCAAAAGACGCGATCACTCGATCGTTAGGCGTCTATGTAGTCGGACCTCCAGCTACTACACAGTCTGAGCTTGATCAGCGGAAGGCTCTGCGAGCTCGCTTTTTGATGCCCCAAAGATTTCAATGGATTATTACCGCGCTCGACTTCGAGCTCAAAAAGGAGGTACTCCCGTACTCGCGATGCGGTCTATTCCTGTAGTTTTCGCCCCCCCAAAAAAACGCTGCAGATGATGATTAGCTATTTGAGCGATGGGTGCAGCGACACCGGAAACTTTCCTCGCTGTCTACCTTCCAGCGAAGCCATAAGGAAGTGGACGTGCGTGTTAAGCGTCATCTTTGATTCGAGGTTGCCAAACTCAAAACGCAACGCCGTCTTCGCCCTGCAACACATGGAATTATCCATTACGCACTCGCGAGCTCTGTGGTTTCTCACACGGCCGAGTCTACAACCACAGCAGCTCAGGGCCATAGCTTAAGGTTAGAACATGGCTCTCCGGCTTTCCGGGCTACTGCCGAGAAGCGCGGTGCGCAAGACGACGCGAAGCGTCATTATCCTTCTGACTATAAGCGTCTACGACGATTGGGCAGTGGCACCTTAAACTCTTAAGAGTTCTCGGAGCTTAAGTATCTCTGTCACTTCACAAGATATTTAGCTAAACCCCGTCTACGACGTCGACCCACAAAGCGTTCCACGTGAAAGTGAACGCCACCATTCTCATCGAAAAGAGTCGGCAGCTTGGTCGATCGCCGTCCGGTGACTCGCGATGATCTTCAAGCTTTGGAGGACAAGGTCCGTCGTCATCGGCACTCCACCGAGCATCGTTTCGAAGTCGCTTACCGCTGTACGAAATACGTCCGGAGCCTGGAGCACTTTATGCACCGACTGCCTCACATTGAGGATTTTCACGCTCATTCGGAGCGGCTCCTAGCCTTAGAGAAGACGAATGCGTCTCTTGGCGCGACAGTGTAGTGCCGTTGGAAACATAAATCGTTGCACTCCGTGTTCAGATCCAGTTGCTTCGGTCGGACGTCCTTGGGCACCGCTTCGGCACCAACGTTTCTGCGTTCACTTGCGCCGGATCCCAATACGACTTTAGTAAGTTCACATTAAGTACCGGGTGAGTACGCATCCTTCTCGGTAGGTTTAGCGTATACGCAAGGCCTCGCTTTGCCACGACCTTACAAGGTCTGGTAAACTGTGTACGGAACTTTGTCTTATAAACAGCAGAGACTGCATGTGTAGGAGGGTTTTTGGTATGAATAAATCAGGTCATTGACCTCGAAGTTTTCTACAATTCTTCTGCTTCAACTATCTGCATATTGTCTTGGCTTTCAGCCGTCGCATCGCGAACGTGTCGTAGAGCTCTCAGGCTGCTAGATAGGAAGTCATCAACTTTTTTACGAACCGTGAGGGGGCTGATATCAGCAAGCCGTTTGCCTTTTCTTCCCCTACCAAGCCCTGAGCCATAGGATGGCAGCGTCAGCGAGATGCGAGTATTTACAAGCCCGCTCACGTAATACGGCCTGTAGCCGGTATATGAATGCACTGCATTGTTCAGAGCAAACAATACAAGTGGCAGCATGGCGCTTTAGCTCTTCGGTGCCTCAGCTTAGACGTTGTAAAAACATCTTGAGCAATGCGATTCACGCGCTCAGTTTGAACATCGCTCTGCGAATGGATCGCTTTTGACATATTCAACTTGGTGCCCAGCACCCTGAAGATCGTTGATTAAAACTTCCCGGTGAAGTGTGGGTATCTATAGAGACAATTGACTTCAAGAGGCCATGTTGTTGAAAGATACGGTCGACAAACACCGTCGCTGTATTCACACCGTTGATGGCGTTCGGCACTGCCGCAAGATGAGCCATCTTGCTCAAACGGTCCACAAAAACTATCACACCCGTGTTGCCCGCTGAGTCCTTCGGCAGGCCAAGCACAAAGTCCAAACACATGGACTGCCAGCACCTGGAGGATGCCGGCAAACTGGCCAGATGTGCTGCCACATTCGGAGAGGGTTTCAACCTTATACACGTTTCACACGTGCGCACAAATGCGTATATTAGTGGCAACTCACCGAGCCGTACGTCTTCTCACTACCGAGATGATCACTGAGTGGGGTGTGGTGGGCCTTGTAGAGGATACAGTATCTCAAATCCCCATCGTGAGAAACCATAATTTTTGTCGTATCCGTCGAATTGGTGCTATAACACAGCAGCCCGTTACTCAACGAGTGTCGGTGTAGCCATGCGCGCGAACGCGCCGACAATTTCTTGTTCGAGTTTCCAAACTCCTCGTCCCCGAGAGCCGCGCTACAATCATATCATTACCCGCGTATGCGGCGCGGATCAAACCCGACACTGACGACGTCACCATCGTGATATGAGCAAACTCAAAACCCGGTCTGTGTGACAACACATCACTGCTTTCCTGGCTTATATCTCACCTCGAAGTTATTTTCAGCAAAGAATGAGAGCTACCTGGTCATCCTGTGCGAGTGGTGAGGCGACTTAGTCGTAGTGCATAGTGATGCATGATCTGTGTAGATCGCAAACGGCTTTTGCCCAGCAGGTGTTTTTTAACTTGACAAGTGCATGCTTCATCGCAAGTAATTCCTTGTCGTCGACTGGATAGCTCTTCTCCGCAGTCTCAATCCGGTGAGATTCAAACGTGATCGGCTCGATCAACAGCGCCAGACTAGGAGCCAATACCAATGAAAAACGATCATTAAGGTCGTGATGAGTGGGGTCTGAACAATTGCGTCAGAAGTCAATTCAATGTTGCTGGCGCATTTGACAGCCCTTGATGCATCACCAGTCACGCCTGGAGCATCACGCTACGAGTACTTACCGCTGTCAGCGGATTAATACTCACTCCCATTAACAATTGGTAATACCTATCGACCAAGTCAAGTGCTCTGTACTTTGAACTGCCATCCATACTTTTCCAGAGAAGATCCTTTCAACGAATCGGCACTGTGCCGGAATGGTGGCAGCGTAAAGCTTATTGTAAGTAATAACGATACGCCACTTGCCGTTTGACTTCTGGACACAAAACGTGGGTGTCGAATGTGGAGACTTGCTCTCACGCACCATTCCTTTGTCGTGCTCTGCACTGAAAAAGGCGTCAATGACGTCATACTGCGCCTTAGGCAGGAGCCATTGACTTGTTACGCAGTATTTAGTTCCCGGAAACCCTCGAATCGGAGTCAGGACCGACGGTGGGTTCTCGGAGACGACATCTCAAATTCCTTACAAAATATTTGTTCGGATTCGAGGGATCCTTCAGGATCGACGATTCACTTCGTGCGTTCAGCACTCCCTTGTTGTCCTTCAGACCAGCGTTATCCAGAAGCGACGACGAGTGAATCTTCTCCTCTGATCGTATAATGACCACCTCGGCCAAATAGCCCACATTTAAGGCACCGCCAATCGCTTGAAAGAATATCTCGTCCAGCTCAAAAAGAGCATCCACCGCGGGAATAGCCGTGAAGGCGACGTCGCCGTCTTTCTCTCCCGTCATACCGTTGACAAGGGTGTATATCTGTGCGCTGTCGTCTCTGGTAGACATACCCCGGGTCAGGGTCGACGCCCGGCGTCTTGTAGATAACATACGTCATCGCCGTTACCTCTTCACAAAAGCTTTATGTCTCGGCAAGACATTGGGAACACGCATATAGCGTCGTTTAGTGTCCCTACTCCTTGCTTCATCGGAGCCTTGATGTTATTAACAACAAACGACGAAAAGCTGCTAGTTCTGCAGTCTTCTTTCAGTGGATAATGTGCCACTCGACGCGCATCGGAAGAGCCTTGCCCACTATGCCTCGGACCTCGTCCTATCAAGCCGCTCTTGGCATACAGCAACTGCTTTGTAATGTGAGCAATGCTCAGTAGATTACGCTCCACTCCACGTGCATCACAGGGGGCTCACCCTCGGTGCCTCGGCCCTTGATTGACTATACCACGCATAGCATTCAGCAACTGCTTCGATACTTGAGCGGCGCTCAGTGTTGTTTCGTGCCACTCCAATTTCTACCCGCGAGCCATGCTCGGGACTCAGGTCCATTACACCTTTGGTGTACGACAACTCGGATACTCCGATTTCCAGCACGTTGTCCGTCCTGTCCAGTGCACCCGTCAATAGCGCTTCTGTTTCCTAGCATAGTTGGGTTCATGACTCACCGAAGCTCCACCAGGAGACGTGCGCGTTAGGCTGAAGGTCTTCGACCTCCAATCGATCTATGGATCATGGTGTTCTGACCATGCCATATTAAGGATACTGTCATACCTTGCATTCAAGTCAAAGT